AGGTTAAAATTAGATGCACAAAAATTAATAGTGTAGTTTATAGTATTATTAATGAAATGAAAGAAATTTATAAAACATTTAGTGCTAAATAGTAATTTAAAAAATGGGCAAAACTTACAAATGTTTAGTTCATTTGTTATATTTTTTGCCGATAATGATTAATGTTATTATTTTGATCTTCAAATGTTCCTATACAACCAAAAACATACGAATAAAATTACTATGAGACCTAATTTACGATTTAGACGTTGTTTCTATATTAACCACTCCTATCGCGAAATAAAAAAATATGATTATAGAGGGCGAATTAGCAAACTTCACAAAAACAAAATATTAGACTTTTCCGTCACCTTTGTTCAGTAATTTTTCTTAGACAGCCCAAACAGTAAGTATGTACAGCCGTTTATAAAATGAACTATGCAGTGAAATTTTCTATGCTCACAATCGCCCAGTGATTTATTTTCATAATGATACCACAGAATAACAAAGCGAAACCAGTGACAACTGTGACATTACGGTTCACACTTGAGAGGGATTTTGACACAACATAATGATATTTTTCAGGTGATTGATGCCTTTAAGAATCCTAAATTATTCAAAATTTTAAACCTTAAATAGGAGATGTAATATTTAGTTGATATTGATTTCGCGGGTTCGCATTGTTCACAAGTTCTTATTAATCAATTATTGGCTCATTGATATCGATGTTTCGATGTTTGACATGTGGTATCATCGATGTTACGATACATCGATGTTTTAATTTCTACCAAACATCGATGATCATCGAACATCCCTAGTTCAATAGAGCGCGAGCGCTCGTGGAGGTCGGATGTGTATTAATTTATTACGCGCGCTGCGTCTCGTTTCGATATTATCGTAGTGGGCTTCGAAGGCCGTGGCTAGCGTTGTTAGCGTACGGACAAAGCCTGACACAGTCTGGCTTTTTGGTTGCGTGTCTGGCCAAATTAGAAGGTGTCCGGCCTGTCTGGCTTTTGTTTGGCTTTTTAAAGGAGACTATCGTTTTTGGACCAACTAGATATTTTAACGTAACTTAACTCATAAAAAAAGATACCAATTTACTATAGTAAACTGACTAAAGATTTTATAATAATCTAACCGGTATCATGATAAACAATATAATTAAAAATCAATAGCTACATATAAATCACCGAAGTCTGTTTATTTGTGAACTGTTTTAAAAGAATATTTTAGTAGTTCCGGAGAACCCACCCAGTATTTAATATTTTGAAGAACCTACAATTTTTTATACTTTTTATTATTAACACTGCACTATTATAACGTAGAATATCGATAAAAACTACAAGAGACGCGCACATATAAGTTTTAGGTTATAATGAGATTGCCGTTTGATTGTTAATTTCTCAGTATTCCCGTTAGATGTGGTAAAACTAATATCACTAGTGTAATCTAGAGACATAAGTAATAAATCGACATGCATTTCATTAAGTTACGCCACAATTTGTGGTGAGTCCATTCTACATACAAAAAGAAAATGCCTTTTTCACGTACTTACTAATGAAAATAAATATATAATAATAATATAATAAATACGAATATTGAATGATTATTTGATTTAAGACTGATTTATTCAACTTTATTGTTATTTCATTAGAATTTGAGAATATTTTATAGTAAATAATAAAAAGCATTGTTTTACTTTAAAAATAGTTGTCATTTTATACTAAGACTAAAAAAATAAGGGTGTCCGGCCTTTTTACCAAAATGCCCGACAAAGTTCGTTGGTCTGTCCGGCTTTTCGGTCTTAAGACCTGGCAACTCTAGCCGTGGCGCTAAATTTTTGTGCCAGAGCATCGTCAACTACGGCCGCAATTTTAAATCGTTGGAAATATTTACTTTAATACAGTATATTTAAATTAATATAAAGTTCGCACATTATTATTATACCAGATAGTTAATTCATTATAGTTATTTTGCTTGTAGCAGAGCTTTCTTACCAGTCCGAATGGGGAAAAATAAATGCAAGTATCAATGTGTCACTTAAAGTAAAAAAAAGAAATTATTAATAAAAAAAAAAGTTATTATTCAATTAATGAATACATTGAGGAAAAGAATTTTTAAGCCCCCTCTCCTGTTCATTGCTATGCCTTTCGAGGTGCACGTGATTGTTAGAACTTGCATGTTTTGTTTAGTCTCTAAGTCACATGTAACGCAATTTGTGAATAAATAAGTAAATAAATAAATAAATATCCGATAGGATATCTCCAGAGATATCTGGAGAAAAAATAATGAAGAATAAAGATGTATGTATGCTCGCCATATGGACTACTACAACTAATATCTACAAAGAGGACAAGTTTTGGATTTTGAATATGTTCGCCAAGTTACAAGCTTTTATAAACAGCTGTGTACAGCCTGAAATTATTATACATAAACACTCACGCCTGTCACCCAGAGGGGTAGGCAGAGACTACAGACTTCCATTTAGCACGATCCTGACATACCTTTCTCGAAATCTTCCACATCCATATACCTACGCATACATGCTCGTCGGTTAAGGGTACTCTTAATTTGGCCCATTTTTAGTATATTGAAATTATTGACTCGTGATAAGCTCTGTCAATGCCGTTGCGGCCAAAATTTTTATATGTAAGTACCGATTAAAAATATATATTTCGCAGTTGCTTATTTTATTTATTAAAACAGGTTGCAACCGTACTATTAATTTATTTATGACACTATGCCACCGTTAGTAGTTATAATCGATTATTAACCAACATCGGTTAACAATCGATTACTGTGAAACAATTAAAATATTTATGTGTACTTACTTCAAAACTAAGGTTCATAAATAATGAAAAATACATCAAATAGATTATAATAAATTAATTAGATAACATAAAAATAACACACCAAAAATTTTCCATCCACTGAACTCAATCCTAAGAAAACTTGTATAATTAAAGATCAAGATCGTTTAGTCGCTATACTATACGCTATAGGTTATCGCCTGTTCGGGGCGTAAATACCTAAATTTGCGTAACGCCGAAATGTAAGAGGGCTCTTAAATAAATAAATTTATTAAAAGCTATCGAAATTCAAATCATATTCACCCTAATTTACGAACGGCAGTAAACAATAAATTTAGTAGGCATCTTTAACCTAACAATATGTATGTAACATCTTTGTCACTTCGCAGGGTCAGTACTCACAGTACCGTAGTGCGAGCGACTGAAAATATTTGAAATATGTCGCTTGTGTAGGTTATCGCCTGTTCGGGGCGTAAATACCTAAATTTGCGTAACGCCGAAATGTAAGAGGGCTCTTAAATAAATAAATTTATTAAAAGCTATCGAAATTCAAATCATATCCACCCTAATTTACGAACGGCAGTAAAACAATAAATTTAGTAGGCATCTTTAACCTAACAATATGTATGTAACATCTTTGTCACTTCGCAGGGTCAGTACTCACAGTACCGTAGTGCGAGCGACTGAAAATATTTGAAATAAAGTGTCGCTTGTGTAGGTTATCGCCTGTTCGGGGCGTAAATACCTAAATTTGCGTAACGCCGAAATGTAAGAGGGCTCTTAAATAAATAAATTTATTAAAAGCTATCGAAATTTAAATCATATCCACCCTAATTTACGAACGGCTGTAAAACAATAAATTTAGTAGGCATCTTTAACCTAACAATATGTATGTAACATCTTTGTCACTTCGCAGGGTTAGTACCCCTTAGCACGAACATTTTGCTCTATCGTGTAAATAATTGTTAAAAAAAATTCGGACGCTTAATTTAAAAAAATTCTTTTATTTTTTTTGTAAAATACCAGTGCTATAGGCTTGAATAAAAGAACCAACTCGAGAATATCATATTTTAATTTGATTTAATGATACATCTTAATGACTAGTAATAAATAAATGTCGGTAGACCAGGTGTCGTTTAAAATTAACCACAAAGTATAAAACAATTTCTTCGGTATTAATTTTTTCACTTGGATTGAATTAAAATATAACATTTAAACGTAAGCTTAGTAACGGTCAAAGTTGAGTATTTCAACTGTGAATATATATATATATATATATATATATATATATATATATATATATATATATATATATATATATATAAATCAAATGTTGTCCATTAGTTTATATATTAGCTATAACTCAAAAATGGCTCGACTGATTTAGAATAAGGGTGACACATGAGCATACAGTCCACGTGATGATAAGTTGATGCTATGGCCCATAGACATCCACATTTATTTCTGATTAAGGAAGATTTCAGATGCATTGTCACCACGGAGAACTAAGATGGAATGCCTCGTTTCCAGTAAAAGTGTCTATGGTTCTCTACACTCACCATACGAAATACAGCAGCATTAATCTGCTATTTTACCAAACTGGTATTCTACGAGAGCGTGGTCCTACCCCGATCGAGGCGACACTTTCTTGCTACAACCATAATATAGCTGCATAGTGACTCTACCATGTTTCATATTAATTCATTCACATAACTTTAGATTCATATTAATATAAATGTTTTTAGAATGAATGATGAATAAGTTGATACCCACAATAGAGTTGTTTATTTTTAGAAAGTCGGGGCTAAATTATAGCTGATATTATTAAAGTTTAATTGTAATTGCAAAAATTTTTCTTGATTAATATCTAAATTGAAAATAACAAATCAAGCCTTCAAAAAGTGATCTTCATTCCATTTTTAAATCTCGTAGACTATAGGTAATGACTGCATAGTCATTACTTTTTGGTATATTTTCGAGTTAACTCTAGTCCAGCACTAGATGATGAGATTGTGGTTTTCGATTTAGCCTACGGAAAACCCCCAGTATTGAAAAACAAAAACAAAGTAAAGGTACTTTGGTATTTTTTTTAAATATTCTGACTCGAAATCGAATGGCATTATTTGCAGTTTAAAATTATCTGATAGTTTGTATAAAAAGTACACAAATTAATTACCTAACCTTTCATGTATTTATCGTATCGAAATCAATTTAATTTGAAACTAAAACGGCTAGAAAATCGTCTCTGTTTCTGCTTGATGGTACTTTTAATGATCTAAAAGCCGCCGCACCGGATCCTTTGTTCCTGCCAAACAGATTAGGGAATGGGAAGTTCGGAACCCCTCGGTGTCTTATGTCCAGAAGACCATCTCCAAATGTCGCCTGAAATTAAGAAAAGATAGTGTTAGATACACATATTGTAGTGTCGCGCCGCAAGCGAAACACATCGAAGCCTAAATCACGCTATCAAAATTCCGAATCATAAACAGTATATACTATCACACGGAGCGTTGGCCGCTATTGGCTTCAATTGAGTAATAGGATTCCATAACATTAAGTGATGAATTTTTTGCATATCTTGTCTAAAATCAAATCATTGTGTTTTTGCTTATGTGGGTAAAGACAGCTCGTATCACGAGAATAGCGTTAGGCGTATAGTTTTTATCTCAGGTTATGCTTTCTATGAATAGGACTACCTACATATAATTTGTATGTATAGCGATTTTACTGACCAATAATTATGGGAATAACTTCGCGGCTTATGATAAATGTATTTACTACAAAGTTTCATCGGAAAAATTCAACAGATATGAGTGCAGCGGCTTTGAATTGCAAAGTGCCATTACCGCACTTAGTGCGCTCTCGTGTGTCACTTCTTAACACTGATGCGTTGTCGTAATCCTTGAGGACTAAGATAGAATGCCTCATTTCCAGTAAAAAACGTCTCTGGTTCTCTTAACACTCACCATACGAAATATAGCAAGCAGCATTATACCAATTTTTCACGCTAGTATAAATTATATTAAATTGATTTTAGATATCTGTGAGGACATAAAAGTCTGTACTCTAATAATAATGATGATGATGATAGTATATAAGTGTTACTAAAATGTGCCATTTTCTTCTCCAAATGCCAACTTTATCTGCACGCGGCAGATATAAGTTAGATAATATTTAAATTTAGAGCTCCTTGATTTAATGAGTTCACTTCCGTATCTCTTCTAGTCTAGAATTTGAAGATAATTACATTCATCCCTCAGTCAGATCATATAAAATTATCTTGCCGCGTACCTCAGTCGACATATGTTATACCCAAAGGCTATGTGATAGACACAGTACAGTTATAGCTGCAGCATAAATGTATTGGCAATTTAATTTCAATCCGAACCAAGGTAGGACCTCAATACCAGGGAATACCGACATAAAAAATAGTAACAAGCTGCTTTTCTCCGTATGGTGAATGAAGTGAATAACGAGGTAGTCTTTCGTAGAACTTAAGCGACATACACCATTTGCGTTGTGATTCCTAATCGAGAGTGATGTAGATGGACGTAAAAAATTCTTTAGAATCGTATTTTCAATAGATATTTTAGTTTTTGGTAAACAGGAATATTTGATCTCGCTTTTTGATTTGATATTACACAATGTCTGACTTCGATGAGCTGTGAGTTTTGTGAATATTCTTAACGAAGCTCATATTTGTAGAAAATATTCTAGTTCTATGAACGATTACCCTGTATCTATCTTTATACATATGCATATATATAAAAACAGTGTAACATGGCCACTGTTATATAATTTTCATCTGCAACATGGTTTGCTGCAACACAAATTCAAAAAGATTTCTGTAAATTATTGCGAGCCAATTTTAGAATTTAAGAAAGTTTTGATGAACTTCATCAAAGAAAAATTTAATAAAGAAATTAACTCAGTGCACGTTAAGGATAGAAACTTAATTGGCAATCTTGGGAAAACATCAATCGTCTCTATTTTGATTTCGCATTTCACAATACTGTTTTATGTGAGAGTAACAACAAAACAGCCAGTCAACGACCGACGTAAAACTAGTTTATTGATGAACTGTAAACGGACTAATCGTTCACGGCAAAACTCAAAATCTGATCGATTATTAAACGCCTGGCAATAATTTGAATTACGTGTACTTGATGCCAATTATTGGGAATACAGTCTGGGATAATAAAAATACTATATTCAGACATTCAGACCTATTAAAAATTGATGATGATAAGCGGGTGATTATTGTCTATATATAGCGTTCTTAGCATGATGCAGCGGGCATACTACGATAACAAATTTTTTAGATTTAGTTTTTTCTTTATTATAGTTTTTATAATATTGAGTGTAACGTTTTAGTTGAATTTAATTTTATAAATATTACAAATGGAGTTCCTTAAATATAACTATTTATAGTTTTTATTTTTGAATAAATATCTTTGATAATATTTCCGTCTCACTAGGATTTTACTTAACTTATCCATTTATCCATAATATAGTGTGCAATGTATATACGGATGAAATTTATATAATGATACGTATTTGTCCTAGTAATATAGTAGTATCGTATTCAAAAGTTTTGCGTTTTCAAGCAACTTTCAAACAAGTGGTAAAAGTAAAATTTTGTACAACCGATTTCAATATAAATAAAATGAGAACATTATCAATGTAATCGAAGTCAATTAAATAAGCGTTATTACGGATAACTCAAAAAATACTGCTCAGAACTTGATCAAATGATCATCAATATCGGATCATCTAGAATAAAGTTCTGAGGTAACACACATAAAAAAATACAGTCGAATTGATAACCTACTCCTTTTTTTGAAGACTGAAGGACCGAAGTCAGCTGTACAAAATTTTTAATTTTATAACTTGTTTATGTCAAAAAACCTTTGTTGAAACATACAGCATTTGAGTAGGAGAGAATGATTATGTAAACTGGAATTTCGTACGTCACACAAGGATATAGAATCGTTCGAGAAAGAAGAATAGTGGGCGGATCTCTAGATGCCTTTATGAATTGCAAAATCAAGAAGGAATTAATGTGGAATTTCCAATATGAGGATGGTCATCATTTCTATAAAAAAAATTAAATCAAAGTTCTTACAAAGTACTTTTTCTTCGTCTATAAGCCACATTTATAATAATTTAACCTCTGTTAATGTATCTGAACAAATATAACAAAGAAAAAATTATTACTTTAAATTGACGTAGCGATGTGTGACGAACTATTATATTATACAATCAGAAACATTCAGCGTTCGAATAGGACTGAATGATTACATAAACAGGAATTTCGTACGTCACACAAGGATCTAGAAACGTTCGAGAAAGAAGAATAGTGGGCGAATCTTTAGATACTTTAATGTATTGCAACATTAAGCTGGATTAATGTGAATATTTTTGATATGTAAGTCATAATTTCAATAATTACATTTTATTCTCACAAAGTACATTTTATCTTCGTCTATAAGTCACTTATAGGATGCTTTTGTTAGTTGAACCTCTGTTAATGTATCTTAACAAATTAAACAAAGAAAAGCTTACTTTGTATTGAATTGACGTAGTGATTTGAAAATTTGTAAGCATATCCAGCTGGTTTAAGAACAGAGGATGGTGCAAGCCGTGGTAGCTCAAAGGCTAAGTGCTCGCCGAAAATTTTACAATACCTACGCACCACAGAAATAATAACATAAATTCACGTACGACTTTCCTCGCACAAGTAAATCACAAAATGGTGAATGATGTTCATCAACACATAGCGGCGACTAGGTCACGAGTCTATGCGACTTCTATTGTCTTATTATTACGATTTCTGTGCTACGCACGGAACCCGTGTTCCATCCCCGTCGGCATCAATGAATTTGTTTATAAGTACTGATTTACCACGTGGTTGACGGTGAAAGAAAATATCGTGTAGAAACGTGTATGTATGAGAAATTAAAATATTATATATTTCAAATACATGTGAAATCGCCAACACCCGCGACACATGCTCTATTTAGATGGCTTGCTTGAACAAAAACAGTGTAATTTTTAAGCTATTGCATAGCTTCTATCGCAGGCCTTGAGCGCGGGGACCGAATCCAAAAAATTCCGTAACGAAAAAAAACTCACGCTCCCCACTCCACGGGCACGGAGGTGTGGCGTTGAAAGCCGTGCATCGTCTAACATCGTTTCAGTTCGGCAGACTTCGGCATTCGGCAGAATTCGGCACGGTGTTTGTGTGCGTGCGACTAGACGTATGCGTGTACACTAGCTGCTAACTCAATGATAAAAATTCCTGAATAACCTACATGTATTGTAAGATATTAAAATATTTTAAACAACATTAACTTCTCATTTATTCAATAAGAGAAAAAAAATTGTTTTCTTATCGGTCACCACGCTCAAAAAGTGTAACTTGATTTAATATCAAAGACTTAACTGCATAAATAAAATAAATAAATAATTATAATTGCATAAGTTGATAAAAAATGCTATGCAATAGCTTTACCGCGGCAGTCACCGAGTGCCACACGTATTTTTTTTGTGCTTGCTTCGGCTCATTCATTTCTTTTAAGCCTTATTATTAATTGCATACAATATTGTGACGTGGTTCTTATAAAAGATAAAGAAACATGACATTGGTATTTTAAGAAATTATAACTTATTTTATTATTTATAAATGATTTCTGCTAGATGTTGCATAGCATTGTGTCTATGTGGACGTAGATTACCATCAAACGAATATCTGCTGTGTGTATTTCGTTGAACGTTAAGCCTACTTAGCGTTCGACGAAATGTTATGAACTTTTTTAAATTGGGAAATACCTTCAATTCTTTTCTTTTTTAAATTGGGAAATACTTTCAAATTTATTTGCATTAAAACTTACTTCCGGTCTAGAGAATCCTCCATTTAGGGAGTTGAACCCGAACGCAGAGGAAGCGCTCTGACTTCCGAAGTTGCTACTTTGAGCAGCTGCTGACGCAGCAGCAGCAGCTACCGATGTGCCTGCACCGCTGAACGACGCAGCCTGACTGCTTGCTTGACTACCTCCATAACTGGAAAAATAATGTTCACTATTTTATTATTAAATAGAAAGAAAGCACTAAGTTATTATTCATCTTTCATATATATATATATAATGATAATGAAAAAAATACTAATGTAAAATGATGTAATAGTTGCGTCTTTTTTAAATATGTTAGTAAATAACTTTAAAGTACTTTTTAGAGGATACAAGCGAAGCACACAGTCCAACTGATGGTAGTGGTGGCTGTTGTTTGCGAATCAAAATGCAGGTGCGTTGTCAACCGTGAATTTGCAAAGATCGATTGCCTCTTTTCCAGTAAAAAGGGTCTCCGGTTCTCTAATCTTAACATACGAAACGCAGCAGCATTAAGCTACTATTTTACGTTGGCATTCTGTGAGAGCGTGGTCCTCCCTCGGTTGAGCCAACCTATGCGTGCTACAGCTATACTATTACTAGGCTGCTCTAAAAGTATCGGGAATGGAATATTTCCACTGTTCCTGTCATATTAAAATCTTTTTAATTGAAAACTCCTTGGTTTTAAAAATCGAATACCATTTATTTATTTAAAAAAGATTCTCGGTCTTATCACAAGGTTTTGTCAAACTTGTTTAGTCGTTGAGAAAATGGAATTGACTCGAGAAAATTCAAGAGCGATGATTTTTAACACAAAAACAGTGTGTTGACCGGATGATTTCTGCATTTGGTGATGAAGCCCATCCAAAACCACAATTTATCGCTGGTTTGCTGAATTTCAACGTGGACGTGTCAAGTTCAGTGATGATCCCCGTCAAAGTCGTCCAAAAACTGCAGTCACCCAAGAAAACGTTGATGCTGTGCATAAGCTGATTGAGGAAGATCGACATGTGATATACCGCGAAATTCAGGCGACTTTAGATATTGGCATGAGTCAAATAAAAATAATCTTGCATGAACAATTAGGTGTTTTCCCGATGGATACCGCATTCGCTCTATGAAGAGCAAAAAGCGGCTCGCGTTACTCGGTGCGTTAGAACTCTCGAAAGATTTCACGCAGGATCCTCAAATGCTGTATACAACATCGTATCAGGTGACCAATCCTGGATATACGCGTACAAACCCGAAACAAAAAACCAGTCACGAGTTTGGGTGTTCGAAAATGAGTTAAAGCCAATAAAAATTGTTCGTTCACGGAGTGTTGCAAAAAAAATGGTGGCCACGTTTGTCTCCAAAACCGGCCATGTTAGGGACAAAGAACGTTATAGAATGGATGTATTGTATAAAAACGGCCATTTTCATTCTGAATGGAATGGTTGCTTTTATGATTGGTTCCATCGTATGAAAAATGTCTCAAATTTCCAATACTTCGAAAAGTAATAAATACATTTTTAAATAGTAATTGTTGTGTCACTTCCTTGATTCCCGAAAGTTTCAGTGCCACCCTCGTAATATAATATATAGTTGAAAAAGTAATTTTAGTAACGTAAGTTCTAAGTGCAAAACGGTCGTCATGGATTTCCAACTCATAACTTTGTATGTTAAAGTTTTAAATTATATATAATATTATTATATTTAATTATATTATATAATATAATTATATATATTTTAAAATATATTATATTATGTTGTTGTGTTTCGAATGATACTCGTAAATGACAAGAACTGGCCTCTATTCTTAGTAAAAATAAGGCTTTCCATTTTAGTCCTTAGGATTGTCAACATATCTTCATTTCGATATAATAGATATTTGTGTGCGTGTGTGTCCATAGGATAAAGCATCACGCAAAGTTAACGATTGTGAGTTTAAAATAATTACTTATATACCAATAAGAGCTGTGAAATATTTGGTAACGAAGCGACTCAGCGGTCAATACACTTGTCTACTAAATCGTGAATAATGTGTGTGTTTTTTTTTGTCAATATTGATAAAAAATATATACATTACTACAAACTTGTTTTTGGTTAATGCGCTTGTGTCCGTTAGGAGGTAATCTGTGATGGAATTAATAATAATAATTCTTCCTTAAATAATATTGCTTAGGTTCGTAATTAAATTATGAAAGGTAAAGTGAGAGAAGTCCCACAGGGTTTCTTGCTGGTTCTTCCCAGGATAGAAGATTTCTCTGAACCAATGGCAAATTAAAAGAAGTGACTTTCAATAAGTATTATTTATAATCTATATTAATTAAAGTATCTGAGAGTTGCGTTAAAATATCATATATTAAATTAAATATTTTATACTCTTAAATTTTGTTCACTAATTCAACTTTTTCTTATTTGTCTTGTTTTATAGTCTATTGCTGGTAAATAGGCTTCTTCTATAATTAGTGCTCCTATAATTCTTTTTTAGATTTATAGTCAACCAAATCTAAGAAATACATTTTGACAGCTGTCAGATTTATTGCACCAAGCACGCCAACTAAAAAATGGGAACGTACAATATTCGATTCTTTAAAAAAATCGTTATCGATTATTTAGAGTTGGTAATCATTTAGTTTGGTTTGAATAATACCAGAATAAAATAAAAACGGAGAATTTAAAACAAGATTTATCAGTTTCTTCGTATTTTTTGTTACTGATTATTTCTAGAGGCACAGTTATAAAAATCTAAGATTGAAACTAGTTTAAAAATAAATTTATTCAATCATTATCAGAAAAACTAGTAGATATGTCGTTGTTTATATTAATTATTATTATATTTTCAATAACACAGACAAATTTAATGTCTCTTTCATGGACATCCATAATCAATTTTTTTTTGTTTTTTCTACCAATTTTGCCCAATCATCCTTTGTGACATGGGCACATGCTTCAACGAAATTTTTTTATAGCATTGGGTGACAAACGAGCACACAGTCCACCTGATATTAAGTGGATGCTATGGCCCATAGATATACATATTTATTCTCAATTCAGAATCAAAATGCAAATGCGATGTCACCCCAGAGGTTTAAGATGGAATGCCTCGATTCCAGTAAAAAGGGTCTTCAGTTCTCTACACTCATCATACGAAACACAGCAGCATTACGCTACTATTTTACGCTGGTATTCTGTGAGAGCGTGGTCCTGCCCCGGTTGAGCCGACCCATTTGTGCTACAACTATAATATAGATGTAGCGTGGCTCTACCACGTACAAAAAATTATTATAAAAGAAACAGTCCAAAAAGTTAAAAACGAGTAACAAAATAAGAAGACAATCAAAACAAAAATCACAAAATTACGCACAGTAAGCTCTGTAAACAGAAACAGAAACTTTTTTATTCATTATAGATTATAAATAATACTTATTGAAAGTCAAATTTTTCATTTACCACTGGTTCGCAAAAAAAAACCTTTGTCCTGGGAAGAACCAGCAAGAAACCCAACGGGACTAGTTTAAAATAATAAGAGCTTACAATCATGCGTGTTACTATTAACAACACAAAACAAATTAGAAATAGCTTGGTAGCGATCACCCTTCCCAGGAGTTATTATCATCCATAAATTCCATAATATTAAAAAACCTTTTTATACAAACTTAGTTTAATAAAGTTTTTAAACTATGTGTACTTACGTCAAATTTTGTATATTTTCTGGGATTTTATTGTAAAAGCGTATACATCGCCCCAAGAATGAATTACTAACTCTGTGGAGTAGAGTAACTGGTACCGAAATGGCGGGATATTGAAATTATGTAGTGGTTATTTTAGCACGGCCTAGTATATGATTTTTTCGCCTACACAAATTTGCTTTGACGAAGTAAAAAAAATAAACTTGTTTTATTCATGATTCATGTAATTTGAGGAATTTTGAAAATAAAAATTAAATTAACCAAATAATACATTAAAAAATTAATGATTGGATTATTTGAACATTTTACCGATTATTTGAATATTGTGCCGATCATTCGCATAAAAACGATTTTTAATCATCCAAACACTACGATAATATACATAGCGACATATCATTGAAACGACGTCAAGTAAAAAAGTTAATACTGATTATGTTTTAATATTTTGCTTTGTTTGAAAAATTCAAATTTAAATTAGTGATAAAAAACTATACACGTTGTAATGAAATACAGATAACTTCATAATTCTTCGGATTTACGTAAAAGGTTATTTTAAATCATGTGAGTACGCTGGTGCAAAGTTATTGCGGAATGATTAATGTGAAACGTCAAAAGGTATTTCTCAGATTTGGTTGACTATAGATCAATAACCGCATAACGGCCATTTTTGGTTGCTGACATAATTATTATAGCGAATCACCTTTGGTATGACGGCCATAGTTGAGGGGGGAAAGAACCTTTGCCTCGCATTTATGATTTCTGCTCACCATCCTTAAGTTCGTTAAATAGTTATATAGAAATCTATCGAAGAATGTTGATAATAAGTATGTTGATAATCTTATGATTCTGGTTTACCTATTAGTAAAATGTTTTTTTATTCAAAAGAAGGTTATTGCTTTCGCGCTATCGTAATTGCCATATTTCACAACGTGGTAAAAGGTGAGCTATTATAGATCGTAAATATTTTATAAAAGCTCTTAATTTGAATACGTTTTGAAATTATTAATCATGTAAAATATAATAAAAAAGTTAGGTATTATTCAGTTTATTTTACAAAATCCATTGACGTAATCACCAACATTGTTAATACTGTTGCATATTCAACTATTTGACAATGCACATTTACATAAGTAACAATGTTAGCATCAGCTGAATTTGTAAAGTTACTTTGCGGTACGGCTCTGTACAAAACGTTAAACGATATTATGAAATATTTCGGTTACGCATCAGATCATTGTTTTGTTAGGTGTTTATCAAAACTCACATTTGAATTAAGAAAGAGCTGTGTTAAAAATGTGTAGAATTCCTACAATTATAGAGAGTAATTGTAGGAATTCTACACAATTTAAAAAAAAAACTTTACCTCCACACTAGGATTTTCTCCTGTATCATGGGGGCAGTTTACAAACATAAATTTCACACGGACAAACATCCAGACCCGGAACAATTACTTGTAGGCCATACAAATACTTGTTCCGTGCGGGATTCGAACCCGCGGCCC